TACAGACTGGTTTTTCTTGTCATTTTTCCCCAAATAGTTTAGTCTCATAACTATTTACATAAGATTAGGTATCACAAGTAGTCCAGGGATGGTTTAAAGTATACAGAAAATACTACACTGTTATATATAAATAAGCACATGAGAACAGTATCATGAGGACGCCTGGAACCAATGCCTTGTGGATACTAAGGGATGACTGCAATGATTTAACAATGCAAGGGACCTTGGCAGTTTGAAGCCAAGGAGAGGCACAAAGTCACACCATGCAAGAGTTCACAAGAAGGGTTTATTGGGGGAGGGGGTGCCAAGGAAGCCTCCAAGCAGGAGTGGAAAGACCAGAAGAGAAAACAAACTGGGAGAGAAGGCACTTGTTTTTCTCAAGGAGATATAGCACATGAGCATAGGGAGAGTGCCTGACTAGTGGCCACTGTGGTAACAGTATAGCATCTTGGAGGCTGGTGATGAAGTGTCCTGCTGTCCCCTGGTCCTTCCATGAAGGCAGGCCAGTGTAAATGCCTGAATATTAACAATAACTGCGTATATAAAACAGTAAATAATAAGCTAATAAAGTCTTTATCAAATTGCTATAAAGATTCAGAACACTTATTTTCACTCCATGTTCTCATGCCTTGTGGATGACATGGTTTGAGAACAATGCTTTGGGCAGCATGTGGGAGGCCTGTGTCTGTGAGCTTGAAAAGCAGAAAGTTTTGCCACCACGATAGGGTTGGGAGCATCCTAAGGATGAACCCTGGCTCCTCGAAGTGAGCCTGATACCTGCCCTAAGTTCTGTCAAGAATATTCTTCAGCGATTGCCTTTGAACAGGGCTTTCTGGCCTACTGTGCTTATCCTCCTCATTCCCCTGTGCATTTTCCAACGCCGTGAACAGTCATAGGTTAGAAACTGCACCTGTCCTGAAGACTCCTCGAAATCCAGAGATGCTTCAGTCAAAAAGCTATGAATTGAGAAAACGAGCTCAGTTTCTGACTGGCCACGCCATCTCTTTCCACAAATGATTTGCCCAATGGGATTCAAAGGAAAATCATGCAGCTGACAGGGATGAGGCTACACAGTCCAAGACACAATGCAATGAAATTCAAACAGACTCTCCTGGCTGGTTTTGTGTGTCAGCTTGACACGGCCAGAGTCTTCAGAGAGGAAGGAGCCTCAGTTGAGGAAATACCTCCATGAGATCCAGCTGTAAGGCATTTTCTCAACTAGGGATCAATGAGGGAGGGCCCAGCCCATGTGTATGATACCATCCCTGTGCTGGTGGGCCTGGGTTCTATAAGAAAGCAGGGAATCTGTGACTGATATGTAAAATTAAATTAATTATAAAATAAAAATATTTTAAAAAAGAAAGAAAGCAGGCTGAGCAAGCTATGAGGAGCAAGCCAGTAAGCAGCACTCTACCATAACCTCTGCTTCAGCTCCTGCCCCCAGGATCCTGCCCTGTTTGAGTCCCTGCCCTGACTTCCTTCAGTGATGGACAGCAATGCTGAAGTGTAAGCCAAATAAACCCTTTCCTCCCCAACTCACTTTTTGGTCATGGTGTTTCCTTGCAGCAATAGAAACCCCAACTAAGACACAAACTTTCCCCCCCTGGAGGTTTAATTAGCTGCTTTTAAAATCTGAAAGGATTATCTACAAAATAGCCAGTAGCTAGCAGTCCTCTTGCCATTAACAATGCCCACGGTGCCCTTCTCTTTGGCTTTCTTTTTCTTCTGGTCCTTCTCCTTCACTCGCTTCAGGAAGCCGTCTCGGCTCTTAGAGAGCTTGATGTGCTCAATTCCCACGTAAATTCTCTTGGCAAGAATCTTGCCCTTGACTTGTACCTGGGTTCAGCTGAAGCACCAGCCCTCCCCACCCAGAGAAGCATACTTTGTTAGGACTAATGGGAAGGAGCCTGAGCTGCTGGAGCCCATTCCATATGAATTCATGGCCTAATGTACAAAAAGAAATAAAAGACATGGACTGTTAAAAAAAAATACCCATGGTGCCTTCAGAGCTCAGGACTTCTGAGTTTAATGTAGCATGAATCTTAAAAGTTCTTATTAATAAAAGTAAACCCAAGGCCAGTTATTGGGGTGAATACTGAAAGATCAGAAAAGTAGAACAAGCCACAGCTTCCTCACCTCACTAATTCCTCAGCTGATCATGTTTCCTTAGACTGGAAGCCTCTGAGTCCTCATCCAAATGGATCTCAGCTGAACTGCTGCTCGAAAGCCTGAAAGCTTAACCAGCTAAAAGCTTCTGGTTTCTGGACTTCATGCCTTATATACCTTTCTGCTTTCTGCCATCACTCCCTGGGATTAAAGGCTCACTTCCTGGGATTTAAGGCTCACTTCTTGGGATTAAAGGCGTGTGTCACCATGCCTGGCTGTTTCCAATGTGGCCTTGAATTCACAAAGATCCAGACAGATTTCTGCCTCTGGAATGCTAGGATTAAAGGCGTGAGTGCCACCATTTTCTAGCCTCTCTATCTAGTGGCTGTTCTGTTCTCTGACCCCAGATAAGTTTATTAGAGTGCACAATATTTTGGGGAACACAATACCACTACAGTTTAATTCACATGAAAAGGTTAAGTCAGTTAGTTGCTCACTGAACGAGGACTTCAAAAGGCCCAAGTAGGATGTCAACATTTCATGGGCAGGCAAGGGACAATTAAATTATTACTAAGAATTAGTCACCAAAGAAAGGTAAGCCATACTGCAGGGCAACTCCCCCATGAGAATCAAGGGTTATATTCTCAATCATTCCATGACAAGTCACTTAGCAAAATTCTTAACATTGGAATGAGCATTCATAGGCTCAGTTAATGAACTTGAAGTAACATCAAACTCTAGGCCTACTCCAAGGTTTCCTGAAAAGCACCAGAGGGCATAATTCAATAAACACCACCAGCCTGTTTCTGCTGCAGGTTTAAAGCAGGTGTCTGCCATATCACTTAAAAGCCATTAAGTAAAATCAAATGGCAAGCCAGTGGCATGTTCCTCAAGAAACTCTAAGCACAGCACTCTAGCACTAACTACTTGATGAAGCAGCACTGTCCACACATGGGACAGAGTGCCGTGGTCATGAAGGAGTTAACGGTATTTGGCCCGCTGAGTGGTTTAAGGTTAGCCATTTTAATTTTACGTTATTTTATTGATGCTGTTGTTAATAAAGCCCATCTCCGAACAATCTAGCAACTAGTACTCAGCCCCAGAAAACAGGAAATTACGCCAGGTTACAACAAAGATTGGGTTAAGTTACTCTGAATTTGAGTTTGAGCAATTCACAAAAATAAAAGGCCCATTTGTTAAAAGATTGAGTTTTAGGTGGATCTTAGAAATCTGCCGTAGGGAAAAGCTCAAAGGACGCAAGTTGTTTGTGTGTAACTTCAGGGCGCTCCCCGTTTCCTCGTGCCTCTCAGCCTCTCTGCAGCAGCATGGCTACGCAATTTTCACAGATGATCCTACCACAATTAGAAACACTACCAGGAGCCAGCTACGTAGAGGGAGCGCCTTGTTTCCTTATCTAACACAATCCTGAGATTTTATTTTAAAACAAAGTATCTGAAAGTGCAGCAATGGCATCTGGGTGTAGGAGAGTCTCCTCATCCCCCAAATAAAGCAGTATAAAATTCCAAAAATATATTTTCAGCAGGTGCTTCTTCCCTCAGGTTCTGGCAACAAATGAATGAGAATATTAATGAGGTAAGATCTGGGCCAGGTGGGGAGTGAATGCAGATTTGGATTCCCATCATGAGCTATGGGATGAGTGGTTTTATAATATTACATGGCACCCTAGGTGAATTACCTTGGGAAGTTACCTGAGTCATTTGTTCCTCTGATCTTTTTCTCTTAAGTAGAAAAGAGAATAAGTCTAGGATTCCGGTTCATAACAGGGAACAGATAAGACAGCCAGGTAGAATACAGGTACTGCATGGTAAGACTTGATGGAACTGTGCAGGCCTATACTGGAGTGGTCAGGGAAAACACTAATCAGAATAAAGGGAACCTCATCAGAAGACTGGCCATGGGGCATGTCTGTACAGCACTTTTTTTTTTTTTTTTTTGGTTAATGATTAATGTGTGTCTTAGTTAGGGTTTCTCTTACAGCAAGGAAATACCATCACACAAAAAGCACGTTAGAAAGGAAAGAGTTTATTTGGCTTATACTCCCAGACCACAGTCCATTATTGGAGGAAATCAGAATAGGAATTCAAGCAAGGCTAGAACTTGGAGGCAGGAGCTGATGTAAAGGCCACAGAGGGGAGCCATTTATGGGCCCACTTCCCAGGACTTCCTCAGCCTGCTTTCTTATAGAACTCAGGACCGCCAGTCCAGAGAAGCACCCCTGACACACAATGGGTTGGGCCGTCCCCCACCAGTAACTAATTAAGAAAATGCCTTACAGTCAGATCTTACGGAGACGTTTTCTCAATTAAAGTTCCCTCCTTTTGGATAACTCTAGCTTGTGTATCAAGTTGACATAAGACCAGCCAGCACAGTGTGGGAGGATACATCTCACTGTGAGTGGTACCACCCCAGGGCATAGGTCCTGAGTTGTACAGGGAAACAAGCTGAGCATGTCAGTAAGGGTGTTCCTCTGTGGTTTCTGCTTCAAGCTTCTGCCATTGAGTTCATGCCTTGGCTTTCATTAATGGCGGCCATGATTGGATCTTTTAAGCCAAATCAACCCTTTCTTCCCCAGGACACTTCAGTCATGATTTTATCACAGCAGCAGAGCAGAATAATTCCAGTAGCTTATCGGTTGTTTCTAAACATAAGTGGTGCTTACTCCACAGAATCTCTATTCCTAAAATTTCTCCATACTATTACAAATGAAGTCCTAGGAACCAGGAATTCAGTGAGAAGAGAAGACACCCACATTCAAAGTCATGCTTCTCAAACAGTCCCCAACACTTTCAAGGATGAAGCACATGTATTTGCTGTATCATACTGTATTGTCCAATATTTGTGAGTTTTGGTTTGGTTTGGTTTTTTCTCTGCAGGTGATGTGTTGACATTCCTAGACTCTCACGTGGAATGCAATGTGGGCTGGTTGGAGCCACTTCTGGAAAGAGTTTATTTAAATAGAAAGAAAGTGGCCTGTCCGGTAATCGAAGTTATCAACGACAAGGACATGAGGTAACACTACCATATCCTGACATTGGAAAGCAGCAGAGAGTGCTGATCCTCATATGTGCTGTGTTAAAACCTACTTACCCAAATAGGGGAAACACATGAGTGATATCTTGGGATCAGAACCTATCAATTCAGTAGTCTATTTGGCCAGTACACCATTTTTTTTTAATCTGTTAATCAATCCAGCTGCTCATTATCAAATTCTTTCCCTTTGATAGTCAGTTGAACTCCCAAATGTTTATTTTTCTCCGGTTTCTAGTCATACCCTTTTTGGAAGCTCTATACATTCTTCTAAGTTGTCATTTCTTCCTCTAAAATGGCCTCTATTGACTGAAAGATGAGTGTAAGTTGAAAAGAAGCAATCAAGCCAGCTAACCTCTGGAGCAAATCATACCCATAAGATCTTCTGAGAGAACATTAAGAGGTCCATCCCACACCTGAACCAGTCATAAGGCTGTGTTGGCAAAGTCCACAGAGACACAGATAACCTTAGCATTTGAGATTTCATGTGTTTTGTTTGTCCTGACTTAGTTACATGACAGTGGACAACTTCCAAAGAGGTGTCTTCACGTGGCCCATGAACTTTGGCTGGAGGACAATTCCTCCAGATGTTGTTGCAAGAAATGGAATTAAAGAAACTGATGTAATAAGGTAAGTGTGTAAAACTGAAGGCTGGACAGTAGTCCCAAGTCCTTTGTAAAGACAGAAAATAGGATAAAAAAAAACAACAGTTATACTCTATCTTCTGAAAATTGGCAAGAATTATAGGTATCACCTAGACATGATGGTACATACCTGTAATCTCAGTACTTAGGGGGCAGAAGCAGGAGGGTAGCACATTTAAGGGTAGCCTGGGCTACAGTAGTAAGCCTGTCTCCCTCTCCATCTCTCTGTCTCTCTCTCTGTATGTATATATATATATCCTTAGCGAAGCTTTGTGAGAAGTTAGTTTGTTCTCCCTTACCTCCGAATTCAATTTTAAATGTACCCGATTTAGCCCTGACACAGAAGAATCCAAAATAACCCTGGGATTTGTGTCAGAACACAACTGACAGATAAGAATCCTAGCCCCACCCACATCTCTGCACACCCTGATTAAGCTCAGCCCCTGGGAACCAGAAACTTTTCACTAAAGCCAAGCTGTGGGCTCCATCCCAAGACCTCCCTGTACCTACCCAGAAATGCCTCCAGTCTCCCACACAGACACAGAGGACCCACTCTAGGAGTTAAGCTGCCATGGGGCAAAAGTGTAACACAATCCTTTCTTTTTGCAGGTGCCCCGTCATGGCAGGTGGATTATTCTCCATTGACAAAAGTTACTTTTATGAACTTGGAACTTATGACCCTGGTCTTGATGTTTGGGGAGGAGAAAATATGGAACTATCATTCAAGGTATTCACTACTCAGTCTGACTTCCTTCCTTCCTTCCTTCCTTCCTTCCTTCCTTCCTTCCTTCCTTCCTTCCTTCCTTCCTTCCTTCCTTCCTTCCTGTCCACCTGTCTGTCTTTCTGTCTGCTGTCTTTCTTTCTTTCTTTCTTTCTTTCTTTCTTTCTTTCTTTCTTTCTTTCTTTCTTTCTTTCTTTCTTTCTTTCTCTCTTTCTTTCAGTTAACAGTTCATCATTCTAGGGGGCAGAGCAGATGGCTCAGTTGCTAAAGAGGTTGGCACACAAGCATGAGGACCTGAGTTCGGATCTCATGCAGAAAGCCATGTACAGTGACATGTATCTGTGAGTTCAGCTACTCTTGTTGAATCAATGAGTTCCACCTTCAGTGAGAGAAACTGTCTCAAAAGTTAAGGTGGAGAGGAATTGAGGAAGACACCTTCTGTTGACCTCTAACCTCCATATGCATGTAAACATTCATACGCAAGCACAAGAACATACGGACACAAACACACACCTGAGTGTTTATGATTCCCAAGTGGCTTCACTTGACCAATACAGCCACATATGTGACTGCGACTGAGAAGAGATTTCACCATGGCCCAGGTTCTATGGATTGACTGCTTCATTTCCCAGACTTAATTTGGAAGAATCAACCACTGTTGCAAAATTGTTGGAACTAATATTTCACAGCAGTGTTTTTATGTCTAATTATGGGGTGGTTACTTTCTCTTTTTTCTGCACAAAAGCTATGGGATTCATACTTAATACAAATTTCTTTGGGATTCATCTGTGACATACAGTGACTTTCTTGGAATCATTCTCTGATACACTGGGAGCAGTCGAAATATCTGCAGTGGGGTGATCTTGAGAATACAAATGACAAAGACTCCAGTGCAGGCCACCAGCAAGCCGGGTGTGTGGCACACTGCAGCATCTTTGGAGCATGCAACGAAGATCAGCATTGACTCATGGCCAAGAAAGCCTTAGCAAGAACAATAGAACACCAATATCAGCTTCCCTATGCAGCTGGCTGTTCTATGTTCACATGGGTATAGGTTTGGAGGTCCAAACAAAGAATAGTTTTGAGTTGAGTACCACAAGCCTACAGGTCTCCCAAAGGAGGTGATGAAATGGACATCCATAACCTCTCCCTGATTCAACCCCAACAGGAACATGTGTGATATATTTTATATATTGGCATTCTGTAAAGGGTTCTTTAGAAAAGAGATAAAGAGAAGTTTTACATGGATGGTTAGGAAGGGGAAGCGAAAGGGGTCCAGCTTACACAGACCTAGATAAACCTACTGAGTTTCCTTTTCTATGGTGAAAGTGTTTCTGAGTTGGAAGTTCTACTTTTAGCAGGAAGAGGAGTGTCTCCAGGTAGTATCGTGGCATTGTTCCTTGTCTATGATTTCTGAACTACCATTTGATAATCGGTTGCTTCTCACTCGCTCCTTCCCAGGTCTGGATGTGCGGTGGTGAAATCGAGATCATTCCCTGTTCCAGAGTGGGCCACATATTCCGAAATGACAATCCCTATTCCTTCCCCAAAGACCGCATGAAGACAGTAGAACGGAATCTGGTGCGGGTGGCTGAGGTCTGGCTTGATGAGTACAAGGAACTCTTCTATGGCCATGGAGATCACCTCATAGACCAAGGGTTGGACGTGGGCAACCTCACCCAGCAAAGGGAGTTGCGCAAGAAGCTGAAATGCAAAAGTTTCAAGTGGTACTTGGACAATGTCTTTCCTGACTTGAAGGCCCCCGTTGTGAGAGCTAGTGGTGTGGTAAGTTAACACGGCCACTTAAAGTCTTCCTTTGCAAAAACAACACAGAAACTCCTTCAAACATGCTTAGAAAAGGACAAAGCAATAGACTTTAAGCAACAGGCACGGAAGCCACTGAGACAAAGTAAAAATGGGAGTTGTGAGAGGTGAACTGGGGAAGTCTGTCACGTGGTCGTGCTGACTGATAACTATCACTTCAGGATATAGCCTTCATCTCTTCCTTTGGAAGTTGACGTTGAATGGAGGACATGGATAATAAGAAGTGAAGTATGAATATAGAATATGATGGCTCTTGTAAAGGAACAGGCCAGGGGGCCTGACTCCTTTTAAAGGCATGCTGTTAAGAAATCCTCTCAGAAGGTTTGAAGCCAGGCCTGAGACACAGTGCTGAGCCAGCCCTGAGAGGTGGAGGCTCAGCTCCTACACAACTCAGGACAGGCTGGAGGCAGAACAGATACAGAGAGGGGAATGGGATTGTCAGGGTGTGAATGGAGAAATGAAGGTGGAGAAATATAGCGTAGAGAATTGAGAATTGGTTCATGTGGGTCCTTGTGGGGAATTTCCTTCCTCTACTTCCTTTATCAATAGGGTCCAATGGAAATACAAGCTTTAATTTGGGTTTTTTTGAAAAGTTTGGTTGAAAGGTTGAAAATAAAATAAAATAAAAATTTCAAGGCACTAAGGGAAGTTTCACAAAGGGTGAAGTGAAGCAAATAGTTTGAACGGGGCCCAGTGCAAACAAAACTTCAAAAAGTTGAGACCCTGGGGTGAAGCCCTGAATCCACCCGGGAGTGTGGCTTCCTGTGATGGCCTGTGATTGGAGCTCATGCTTACATTTGTGTTTAGTCTCATCTATTGCTTTTCATATTTATTTACAAATATTCCCAGTGGTTGTTGTTGTTGTTATTGTTTTCGGTCATAGCCCTGCTCCCTTGTGTTCAGAAAGATCCCTAACTTGCCTATCAGTGTTCTGCTTTCTCAGAACACCCGTCTCTGGCTCTTCCTAGGAAACAGATGTATAAACCAGCCCTTCTCCCAGCCTGTCAAGTCCCCGGATAACAAAGACTCAGGAAAAACTATGTTGTTGTTCTCACCAGGGAAATCCAGGGAGGGTATCAAAAACAGGAAAGTAGTCTGGATATTTGTTCTGATTTTACAAATTTTAATCAATAAAATACATGTGATCTGGTTTATTTCTAACAAAATGTTGTGCACAGTTCACAAGAGTACAGCAGGAATTGGGGTAGGTCCAAGTAGCTATCACCTACTTTAGATAACTAAATAGGAAGAACAGCTTGGCCTTAGACACATCAAACATACCACTTAGATGTTTAAATTCCATCCTCCTAACTCAGTGAATTTCTCTCAAGAATCTCAACAGCATTACTGAACTTTGGCCACCAGAGGGCGCAAAAAAACTACCTTTTGAGTCCCCTGTAAGTTGCCGCTATCTTTGAAAAGCTCGCCTCACACAAAAAAACCCAAAACCATAACCCCCCCCCAAAAAAAAACACGCTAGCAAATACTGCGCATATAGTTCAAAGCAACCTCAACAGACCCTTTTCTTCCATTTCCGTTCTTTGCTGTCACATGTGGATAAGTATTAAATGAAGACATCATCTGCTCTCTTCTGATAAGAGTGTTATTACCATTTTTAAAATTTGAGATTCCCCCCTCCCCCCGCACCCCGATTAATATCAAATATAATTCAGTAGACCATGACAATCAGGAAAAGTAGCAAGAAAATAATATTTAACTTTTTGTTTCTTGCTTCACATTTTCTCATTATTCAACCTACACATCTAGAAATTTAAGTCCATTGAATTTTTTTTTTGTAATTTCTCATAGTCAAAAATATTGAAATCAATAAACAGCCTCAACAGTAGTATTTTTCCTTTGCAGAACATTATTAGCAAGCAGCCTATGCCTAAGATTTAACAATTATGTAATTAAATATGGGAGTTCTCTACATTTGACAATGGGAAAATGAAATAATTCAACACAGAAAGTATAAAATCTACACAATACTTATTGTTGTTGTTATTATTATTGTTATTATTATTATTATTATTATTATTATTATTATTATTACATTGAAATGGTTTACATGAAGGACCCACGAGGAGAAATTCTTGCTTATGTTCCAGTGCCTTCCAAGGCCTGTAGGATGGAACTGTTAGAAATGAAACAAACGAACAAAAAAAACAACGTAAACAAAATAGAACAACAACAACAAAACCATCTAAACTAAACCTTCCCAAACACTTTCTGGGCAATGTTAGTTGTTGCACCAGGAGTCCATAGTCAAGTAGACCTGGGAAAGAACACACTGTGTGTCCTGAGCGCCCGCTGTGTGTTCTCACTTGGAAGGCTCTGAGAAGTTCTGAGGGAAGGCAACTTGTTCAGCTGTGTTGGAGGCAGAGTTTTCCAAACTTATTTTATGGTAGGATAATTTCTGAATGGTCCATGAGGACATGGGACTCATTTCTCTGATAGGACCCAAAGAACAATGAGGTTTTCCATTTCCTTCTTTGCAGTCCAGAACTGGCTCTACCCCATGCATGGCTGTTCATGCTCCCTGAACTTAGAGTACCATTGCATCTTTTCTGCATGCTGCTACTGCTCAGACCTACTGATGGTGGATGTGCCTGTATTTACCATTTGAAGCTGTGAATGGAACATTTTGAAGATTTTCTTTTAATGGACATCTGTCCCTCTAGAATTGCTGTGTCCTCCTGTGTCAGACACCTTAGAAATTACGAATCAGTAAAACTGCTGATATTTCCTTATATTCCTTGAAGGCCAGGAAGGGTTCCTAGTTCAAGCAGGTAGGACATACTTTTATTTCAAACCCAAATGAAGGTCAGCATGTGACTTCACATTCTCAGAAAGAATCGAGCATCTTTGTTTCCTCCCTGTTCTTGTAGATGAGTTCTTTCTCCAGTACCCACGGGCCAAAGGTCAGTTCAGATTTTGTCTTTCTGAGGACAAGCTCAGTCCCAGTTCTCTGACTGGTACATGCCCACATCTCACACTCCCCACATGTTTCTATGAGGACATGTCTTCCTACTTACAGATTCTAATAATCCTTCTCATTGCTTCGTTTGCATTTTTCTGACCCCACAAATGACTCCCTACCTAATCTTCAAGCTAAGAAAGCCACGCTTTCACAAGTAGACACCAGCCCGCTAGACACCCTGCTACAAAATCTGCTGATCCTGTGGCCAATATGGCCTCCATTGTTACGGCACCCCAGAACTGGAGCTCTGTATTGGAGCCCATAAAAGCTGAAGAAACACTAACATGGTTACAACCTCCCAAGCTTAGCAGGCTTTCCTGGAACATGCCTAATTTCTCCTCTACAGAGCACCTCCAGCAAATTGAAAAACCTAAATTGCATTATTAACCTACCTTCCTGTTAGTCCTGCCCAGGATGTTAGAGAAGGCATGGGAATCAACATTCTCTGCATTAGATGGTGACTGATGGAAAGCTTCCTCCATATTTGACCCTGTAAATTGGTTAAAACCCTGAGTCTGCCAGAAAGGGCCTGTATGCCTGGCTCTGCTTTCGCTTTCCATGACTTCCCTGTAATGAGTCGTAGCTTGACTGAGTCATTAGAAAGAGTCTGACAGGGAATCAACTGGAATCTGCTGTTCTCTGAAGGACAATTTATCTAGGGTTCAGTGCCCAAGAAATCAGATCAGTTAGAGGGGTCATCCAAGAAACCACAACCTGTAACTCTTGGCTTGATGAAATTAGAGGTGTGTGCACTGACTTTTAAAATAGGCATTGGGATACATTCAAGCCAAAAAAAAAGAACCCTCTCCTTCATTCCTGTAGCAATATTTGCTCACTTTCATTTAGCATTCCAGGAAGGAGTTAATGAGAAGCTGCTGTTTCCAGCTGAATCACAGGCTGACACCGACAAATTGAAGCTGTGCTCTGACAGGATCACCTTGTGTCTCTACGAGAGCTGTGACCAAGACAGTCATCCACTGCAAACTTTTGCTAATCTATTGACTATCTATTAACCTTATGATAGTCAACCCTCTACTTTCGATATGTGTCTGGATGCTTTGTTATACACTAAGATATGTTTGTTCTTAATGAGCATTTTGTGTTCTGCTTCTTAGCTGGTGAATGTGGCCCTGGGCAAGTGTGTGTCCATCGAAAATACCACAGCCACGCTGGAAGACTGTGACGGGAGCAGTCAGGTAGGCTCAGCTGGGTTCTCTGTTCCTCGGTCGTGGACAGGAATCATGACTGACAAGCTTGTTGCTCACTTGACGATTGACCTCTGTCTAGGAGAAATCCATAGATGTCTAAATGTCAATGTAATCAATCGTCTGGTATAAGGAAGTGCCACTCCACAGAGAAGCAATGTAAAGGGGGTGGGGGACTGTTGGCAATGAAGTCATTGCTCCGTGATGGATTTAGTCTTGACTTTTCTTCTTGCGAAACTGGCTTAGCGTACGCCGTCTTAAACCTCTGTAAGTAGCCGTGAAGACAGTGCCTAGCTCTAGAGCTGAAATGAACTGTTAACACACTGGGGGCTGGTAACGACTACCTAATGCTGGGACTCTGTAAATGTTGGTGGTCGTAATACACACAAAGTGCCTAGGACATGGCTGGCAGGATGGCTCAGTGGGTAAAGGTGCTTGCTAAACAAGCCTGTCAATATGAGTTCAATCCCAGAAACCCACATGAAAGTATACAGAAAGAAGCAGTTCTACACTACTCCTCTGACCTCCACAGACCGTCTGTGGCATGCATGCCTACATATAAGTATCACACACGCTCATGCACCTAACAATAATAATAAAATTTAATGTTTATCAATGGGTAGAGACCATGTTTCCAAGCAGCCATCTTGAGCAGTCCATTTTATTCTCTGATTACATACCTCTCCTCCGGTATCTTAAGGGAGTGATGGACATGCCCTAAACTATGATCCTTGATGGGAAGCCTTTTAGCAAAATGATCACAAAATCAGAGCGCGTGAATAAGAGGGAGTGGAGTAGGGCCAGGAAAAACAGAGAAGGACTCCTCCTGCCATGCTGGAGGTGAGCTCCAAATGATTATGCCTCCCTCTCCGGCATCTGCACCCCACATGGGAATGCTATCTGCTTTGGATGCTAAATAGAATTCACAGGAACACTGATTCATGTGTACAATTCAGCCTCCAGATTGTGGATCGTGCTTTGATAGACAGATCATTTTGTGATGATGGCCTCATCTTGCTGTCTTACTTCTTTGTCCTGATATAAGCATCGTGGTTTGTACCTTGAAGCACATCCCATTTCTACATCTTAGTCCCAAGCTGCCCCGAGAATAGAAGACATATCTGTCAGCATAATTCTGCTGTGGATTATAAACCTGAAGCCAAGGAAACACTTTCATAATTAGGAAAGAGATAAAATAATAAGTTTAAAGAATCAACTGGAAAAATGAATTTTGCTTATTAACAATTCACAATGGAGATAGTAATAAATTATAGAAAAACCAACTGTAGAGTTAGTTGAAAATATATGAAAATAGTCAATTCTCCATTCTTTTAAAACTATCACCATAGGAACTTAACATACCTGTAAAATCAATATTTCACCAGAAATTCAGCTTTTGCTCTTGAACACCAATGACTTGGGAAGGTAAGACCAAAGTATGCATAGTAGAGCCAATGCATTCCAGAAAGCTCCATCACAGTTTAGTTCTATTGCTCCTTTTGAGTTTCTCTTACTAGTGGTTTGTTTGAATAACAAAAAGGACAAGATGTAGAGGAAGTTAATTGGGTTGAGGCAGAACAGATGAGGTTTAATACCTGACTTGTATTCATCTAGAACACTCAGAAGAAATGAAATACTCAGCTCCACCCTCAATCCCCGTCCCTTACTTAACTAGAAGTTTTCTTAGGGTTTTACTTTAAACCCTTTCTAAGGTGTGGTCCAGCTTACCTTAGTCACTACATGGCCTCCTATTCCGCTGTCTGTCCTTGGTTCTCAGACATGGATACTCACACAAATCACCTTGGGAGTTTGGTAGGATAGACTCTCACTCACCGGGCCCATGATGGGGCCAAGAGTCAAGATTTCTGGGTAGCACGATGTTGGTTCAGGGACTACACTTTGAGTGGCGGCATTTGCCACCATGTCTTTAAGATAACCTTTTAGTCTACATTAAATCCCAACTGAAGCCAGTCATGGTGACACAGACCTGTGATTCTAACTGTCAGGGAGGCTGAGGCAAGAGAATCACAATTTTAGCACTTGCTTGGGCTGACCTAGACACCTGAAAATTGCTACAGAAGCCAAAAGAGATAGATAGTCTTGCTATCCAACAAAACAATATGACAGTGGGCAGGTTAGATAATACACATACTCATCAGATCAGGGCATCTACCCATGGTCTCACCTATTGCTGATGAAAGTCTTTGGCAACATCCCCTGCCTCTGCTTGCTATCTGAATGGCCTCTCCTGTGCCCATTCTCTACAGCTTCAACAATTTAACTATAGCTGGGTAAGACTTATTAAGCATGGAGAGCAGTGCATGGCGCCCGTCACTGATCAAGGATCCCTGAGACTCCAGCCATGTGATAACAGAGACAGCAAGCTCAAGTGGCTGCACAAGTCAACCTCGGGCTTTCGTCCAGAGCTGGTAAGCAGAATGCCTGTGCCATCCCTTTCCCACCAAGTCAACTTGCAGTCGAAGGGGACAGAAAACTCTGAATATCAGCCTCCTCAGCTGGAAGGCTTAAGTGCTGTTTATTATAATAGAGGCAGTATAAAGGTTCACTCAAGGACATAGAGAGAGTTTCTGTAAATATTTAATGTTTTGTTTTTATTTTTGGTTTTGTTTGCTTTTTTTCAAAATGGATTTCAAATGAGTGATTTAAATCGAAGGCACTCATTGCTTGCCATTATATTGCTACCACCATCTTAGATTCTAAAATTCATTTAAATCAATCAACAATGCCATATGTATTTTTGAAACTTATTCTCATTGGTTAACAGAAGAACCTAGAGATGGAAGCCACGGGAAAAGCAAGAAGCGGCATGCTTCCTGCAAGTGCTGCTGCTTAGAATGGTTCCAGCTCCCCGTGTGCTCTCCCTCCAGGAAACGGGTTTTTTCCTCATCCCTGTGTGGCTCCACAGAAAAGACAACTGATTACAGGAGGCTGACTATGTGTGTGTCTTGCCAACTTTGCATTTGGTGATAACACATCACCTGTTGAAAACAGGCTCGAGGAGACTGTTTCCAATGCAGTTGTTATCCTAACAAAACACCCCAGTGTGACTGTATTTATTCTCAAAGTCCATTCAGTTTCTCTTGGTTGTGTTTGCTTAGGATTCAAGGTCATCAGCTTTGTCATAGAATCTCGAGATAGTAGGCCTAGTCTCAGGTCAGGACTGTCTTCTCAAGTTTCTGCCATCTCACTAGCATGCAGTTATCAAATGCCTTGTGGGCATTGGTGTTGTGGTTAGAGGTATCTTCCGAGCATGCCTAGCGGAGATGGTCTTGACTATGGTAATTGGTGTGGGAAGCCCCATCTTAATTTTGAGGGGGACTGTTCCCTCAGAAGGGGATCCTGGGCTATGTGAAGCAGAGAAAGGAGAGCTATGTAACATTTGTCCCTCAGTCTCTGCTTCTTTTCTGTGTAGGAGATGTGACTATTTCCCTCAACTCCTGCCACTGTGAGTTCCCCCACAGTTGTGGGGTGTAACCTTGAACTGTGACTGAAGTCCGCTACTGTCCCTGAAGTTGTTCTCCTCAGGATTTTATCACAGCAACAGAAAAGAAACAAGACCCAGGGCGATACAGAGATCATGATTCTGCCCAGAGCTGGCCCCAAAGGAAACCCACTTTATTTTGGGGGTGTCCCTGTCTGTTAGGTTGTCCTTTTTTGCTGTCTCATTCAGTCATTCTCTTCCTACTCAGAGCCAAAATCAAAGCAAGACATTCATTCTCCAGCAGTATATTTTAATTTTTTGAGGGGGGAGGGGTTTTGAGACAGGGTTTCCCTGTGTAGCCCTGGCTGTCCTAGAACTTGCTCTGTGATGAGGCTGGCCTCGAACTCACAGGGATCCACCTGTCTCTGCCTCTGAGTGCTGGCTGGGATTAAAGGCATGTGCCACCACCACCCCCAGCTGTATATTTTAATGGGGGGGCACGCTCTTCTTACTGATAAGGGTTATTATTGTCAGTTGATACTGTCAAATAGAGAATTATTAGTGTATAAAATTCTCTTTTCAGTTTTTATGCTTTGGGGGAAATTTCATGATTATCTATCGACTAAATTATATCACACCTCCTACTTCTTTAACACTGCACTGAGGAGGAAAGAAAGAGACAATGAAAATCAAAGCATCTCTTCTCTGAAGAAGTGACTCCTGGCAAGGATACACAGTGAGCAAGTACTTAAGAGTAGCTCTTCCCCAGTAAGTTGACTTGGAAGAGATAATTAACTAAAATAACAGAAACTAGAAATCTGTCTGTGATGCACTACATAGCTACCCTCTGCCATTTGGTCCCCTTGCGATGTGTCTAGATAGTCACGGAGGTAGATAGCCTGCTCTCTCTCTCTCTCTCTCTCTCTCTCTCTCTCTCTCTCTCTCTCTCTCTCTCCTTTTTCTTTTTTCTATTAACAGTCATCATACAAACCTGTTGAAGTCCCTGGCTATCGCTTTAGAAAAAGACCTTAAATCAGCAGTTCTCAACCTATGGGTCACGACCCCCTGGGATTCGAATGACCCTTCCAAAGGGATCACCTAAGACGATCAGAAAACATAGATATTTACATTATAATTTGTAACAGTAGCGAAATTAGAGTTATGAAGGAGCAACAAACATCATTTTATGCTTGGAATCGCCACAACATGGGGAACTGTATTAAAGGGTTGCAGCTTTAGGAAGCTTGAGAACCACTGCCTTGGACAATTAAAGGGAAAAAGATTGAGTCAGCTCCATTTTAGAGGTCTGAGTCTACCCTAGATTGGCCTTGTTGTACCTTGGGGCCTGTGGTAAAGCAATACATCACAGGAAAAGAATAGGTTAGAACATGGCTCCATTTGTGACCAGAAAGTAAAGGAGAGTACAAAGATCACACAGTGCTCATCACAGACACTGCCCAGTGACCTATGAATCTAAGCCTCAAACACCTCTCAAAGATTTCACCATCCCCCAACAGTTGTACCCTGGGGACCAAGTCTTAACACATCTTTGGGGGAGGAGTGGCCTTCAAGATACAACTAGAGCAGTCCCTGAGATATGTAAGTCTTAAAGAACAAGAGAAATGGAGAGAGACTGAATAACAGGAACCTCTTGCTTTTTAGAGTTTAACTCTAGATAACAATGACTTGTTGAAATGATAGACTGCTAAATTTGCATTGTAAAGTGCTCCCTAAGTCAGTCCATGCCCCTACCCCATACTCTGGACTTTGCCATCCACTCAAGGTGTCACATTTGGAGCACAGCATGGAAGGCTTCCCTATTGCTGGTCCCTATGAGTCTATAGATGGGAAGGAAGTGATTTAGTTACCTCTGTCTTCACCACAGAACATAGACAATGCTGAATGATTTGCTTCAAGGCCACCTACTTTGCACAACTTAAATACACAATGCAAACATCGTATTTCCAAGGTTCTGTAAGTCATAATTTTGCTTTAGCATGAAAGTCTCCCCTGTTTGGGTTTTAAAAAGTATATTAAAATAGCTCATTAATAACTAATCATGGTCATATTTATGGAAAATTGAGATTTATGAGTTAAAAATTATAAAGTAAATTATCTCTCACTTTTAATAAATATTGAGCAACATTAAGGTCATCTGAAATACCCTCGTCTTGTTCTAACTAAATCTGAACATTTGGCATTCTATATTGTCAGAGCTTAGGTGGGGAGATCACAAATAAAATGTATCTAGCATTTGCTAATACACATAAACATTCTAAGATGTGAGCTGGATTAATAAATTAATAAACTTGCTTCCTGACATACTCCATGATTTTTGCTTTGCTACCATTAATGAAGTAGTCATTCAGTATATTAAGTGCTAACCAGACTTTTTCCTTTAAATGATACAGTTATCAGCCATATCACTAGAAAAAAATGACTGTTTGCTTCCTGCAGAATTAAAATTTTTCAGCTAGAGAAGCTGGATCAATTAGTTTGAGACAGAGACAAATTTGATGTTTTCCAAAGCTTGTGCTTATGTCGCTAATTTAATTTAAGAGAGTGCCTGGGAGAATAAAAATACAATTTGCTTATTCTGTCTTCATATGTCAAGTTTAGTCTTGTAGTTCACTCCCATATCCTCTTTCTCTTCAGGTGGATCACATTGTTTTTGAAAACTATCAGCAGTTGTTATGTATGGAAGGGAATTTTTCTCAGAAGACCCTGAAAATGGCCACTTGCAACCCAATGGAACCATATCAAAAGTGGAAATTTGAAAAATACTATGAAGGCTAAAGAGGAATGTTTTATCTGGTTAACCCCCCACCAGATTCTGTGAAAATCAAACCCAAGTTGGTGACTGTATTTCTCTCCTTAGTTATTTAAATTTTCCATTTTAATAGCATTTAAATGGAAGATTTTTTTTAAGCACCAAAGGATAACTCAGGGAAACAGGCCACCACTGGACTGGAATTCTTTGACTCTGGGTGGCCTTTGGAAGTGTTTATGCCCTGCTCTGGGCTGTGGTGCATACTGCAAGTCTTCCTCATGTGCTTTCACAGGTAACCAGAATTGAAGACATATCATGATGTCATGATCATGACTGCTGTTGGGCAGTTCTTCTGGCCCGTGAGTGGAGGTAAAACCAACTGGATTCTGCCTTCATCAAATTCATCTACACGGATTCTCACACTGGGAAGACTCAGCCAGCTGCACAGAGACACTGCCCATGTTTACCTGAAAGTGGATAGCAGTGCTGATAATTCTCCATGACCCCCTTCTAATGGGGGTGTTGATCTGGATGACCAGAAAGTTTTCTTCCAAATCTGAAGTAGTAAGGGAAAAAATTAAGTGGAAAGGAAGAAGCCTTCGTGTAATTAATTCTGTGTGTTCTTTCCATTCATTTTGTGCTTTTTAATAATGCTACATTTAAAAACAAAACCTGGTCATAGCAATAATTTCTTAGGTTTTTGTATTTCCTTCATGTAAAGAAAGATAGGAGTTTGGGTGACAGCACACTGTGATAACTAAACTTGCACTTGATCATGAAACATCTCAACACAGGGTGAGAAGAACTGATAAAATTAAGGCAGAAATGATACAGAAGAATAGGACAAACCTTGAAATGCTAAAACAATAAAAATACTACACTAGATTTACCAATATTCACTTGGATGAAGTATGCTAAATACTCTAATACATGCCAAAGCAGACATGAATTCAAAAGGAAGAAAAGGAGATGAGCAATTTGAGGAGATAGTTGATTAAAGACTTGTCCCAGACTTGACAAAATAAAGAAGGGAATGTGGTGCTTCTGAGGGGAAAAGGCAGAGCAAAACCCTCACGTGGACCTGAGGCTAACACAGGCCAGCCATGGAAAGCTAAATGTTTCCTTATCCAAACTGAGCTCTCACATTAGGTATATCAATCCTTAGGCACTGCAGAAGAAAGCTTAGGGACCATGGTCTACTATAATCCTTTTGGCAGGAAAATTGATGTTAGAAAAAAAAAATTCCCCTTCTGAAAACTCCTACAGACAAATTGGGGTGAACGGGGTAAGAATTCAGATCTCTAGGTGTGACTCAACCACCAGTTTGGTCTGAGTTTGCCCACTGTGGTCCTTCAAAAGGAGATAAGCCAACTTCCTTACTGAAGCTTCACCCCTTCAGACTGGCCATGCTTATTCTTACTGGTGGATTTAAATCTTTGTTCACATGATATTATGGTAAAACCGAGCATTTTAGTTCTGGTTTCCTATTTGACTCTTAATTTTATCTACCAGTTAGTTACCAAAAAATCATGACTATCAATGAATAATGGGAAAGGAAACATTTTTTCTTTACACATTTACAGCATATACAGTATATTTAAGATGTTTCATTCCAGTAACTGATGATTAGAGATGAGATAAGAGAATATTTTGAAAATGAGATAATTCTTTCTAAAATAGTCATATGGGAAGAAAACAAACAAACAAACAAACAAAACATACAAGTCTTTGCTAATGAACTAATTGAGCCAGTGACTAAAGAGTACACTGAGTGATCCATGTCATTTTCATGTGACCGAGACACCTTGAACATCCCCCTGCCCTCTGGTCTATAGAGTGTCTATTTTATCCAAGGACAGTTTCTTCAAAGAAAAATCAAGTCCTTTTAGCAACAGATGAGTCATGCTTTGGATTGATCCACCTTTGTAAGTGAAGAAAGTAAATGTTTTTATTTTTTTTCCAAGAGAAGCTTCTGTGTAGTCTGCTCAATGTACTACCAAACTTTACCTTGAATACATATTATATAAAGTTACCTCTGAGTACTGTCAGTAGAACAAAGGCTTTGTTTGAAACATCATGTATTTATTTAGGGGTAAAATTTCAACAAACTCTCTACCATACATTTTTCCACTTACCCTAAGATGCAAGGAATTAGTCATGAGTTAGGAATCTGTGTGGGCCTCGCCTTGAAAGTACTGACTGATTCTCAAATCTACTGCCAACATTTCTTGAAGCATTATCTCCCAAATTTGTTTTTAGAAGACAAGAATGAGTGTATAAATCCTACTACAGCATCTTTTACATGTAATGACAAACCCTTGAGGTAACATTTCGTGGTCCAAGAGAATTCTTCAACAGGAGAATAGGTTATCAGGAGCTTCCCATTTCCTTGACTTGGCTTAGCTTATTGCCTTTTCTTAGAAATATGCCTATGCATCTTGTCAACTTGAACACGGAATAGCCTTGCTAATAAGTTATTGAACTAATTGGATCAAAATACTAACTTCCTGAGTGCTGGGAGTGCTTCCTCACCCTTCAGCGTGCACACTGCTTTCTCTTTTCAACAGTTATGCAGAATCCCCCTCCCCTCCCGTGGAATGACACAGCTGTTGTTGCTACGGTGCTGTTTTATCACGAGCGTCAAATTTGCTCAGTTCTGCTTGCTGACATTCAATTATCTGTCATTCACAGGACTGCAAAACCAGCCGTGCCATGATCGCAATGCATCATCAGCTTCCCCCGCACTACTTCAGAAGCGTTCTTCTAGATATTAGAAAACCTTCTTTCTAGTGTTGGCTTAAAGATTGCAAAGGGTCATGGACATCACTTAGAATGGATAAGACTTCAACATTCCTAGCATGTCCTAATTTCATGAATGGGCTTACAATGATTTTCAAGGAACTCTTGAGCATGATAATGGGGTTGAGGCCTACTAGGTAGCACCAGCTTGCTTCTTGTTGTTCAAACACTTTCACTTTTATGTAGAACATAGCCAAAATGTCAGATCTTATGCAAAGACCCCAATAGCTCATATAAAAACCACAAAACTACAAGAAATGAAGGGAAAAGAGAAACTAATTATCATTGAGTGCATATATCCTCCTAGATTTTGTGTGTGCTGATCTTATTGGCTTGTATACAACTTTCTTTCCTCCATATAATAAGGGAGGTGTCTGTCTCTTTCTTACACTGAGGAAGGATGTGATCATCCCATTAACAACAGATAAAACTCAGAATAGAATCATTCTATCTGGTCTCACAAAATTATGCCCACTACCACATGCCATGGCCATTCCTTTTTTAAAGTAATAGGGTTATCAATGTAGGCAAGCTCAGGTAAGCCCCCCATGTTGTTCATTACTGGTTTCAAGATAAGGAAATGAGGTTGGGTAAAAGCTTTTTGGTCTCTCTTGAATGTTTCATAAGCAGGAAATCAAGATTGGGCTTCTCTGTTGAGCAGCTGAAGTATAGATGTTTGCGACAACCCTCGTAGCTCTTGTGGTGATTCACCGTCTTGATGTGATGGAAGACTTCTCCACCTGCTGGACCAACCTGACAAACAGAGATCTAGAGAGCTGCTTCACTATGAATCACAGTACCCAACTCCCTTCTACCCTTTCTCCCTTCCAACCTTCAAGCAAAACTGACAAATAATTCATTTTTAACAGAGATAGAAAATAAAATTTTGGAAACCCCTTCAATTTAAAACACAAGCCACAGGCTTTAACTTCAATTCACTTTACAGATTGTATCACAGAGATTTTACAACTGCCACATGGGGTATTCAATGATTGCTGCAAGCCAACTGCCTAGGAAAAGAGAACTGATAAACAAAGCTATTGTACAGAATGTTTATTTTTGACAAATACTCATTCCATGGACATTTTGCTTAAGCCACATAAAGTGTTATATTGCTCTGTGAGATTGGTGGATGGTGTTTCGGATATTGGGGTGTCTGCATACATTCCTCAGTGAGGCTTGGTGGGTGGTGTTTCATATGTTGGGGTGCCCGTGTATGAAAGAAAGTAAAAACAGTCCATAGTGCAGATTCAATGTCTGTTTTAACCTGAGGTGAAAACTGACAATTACTGTCTCCATCTGGTCCTTTTGCAGGTTTATGTGAGTTCTCCCTTGTACAAACACAAACCAATGTGGAAATTTGCATTTTCCAACATGAAGACCAATTTCAAATATGTGGAATTCCTAATAATGGCAACCACCATAAAATGAGTGAAAACAAATTTGTTTATATTGACCTCTATCTGCCAGTTCAAAGACAGTGGTTATACATGAGTACACAGATAAAGCCTTTGTTTTATATGTTGCAATTAAAACTAATAAAATATATTTTAAGTTTTACTTGACTGTTTGAAAACATCAGTTGTGAAAATATACACCTTGTGTGTGGACATATATTGTGTGTATGCATGTGTTTCTTTAAATTGGGAGGGGATAAAAACCCTAGGTATTGTGTGACAACATAAAGGAATACAGCAATGGCAAGGGACCATTGGATCTCTGAGTTCAACAGCATTTTCTACTCTGAATCTTCTTTCTATACCGAATGTTTCAAATGGATTCGCCCTGTCTGCAGTTTCTCTAACATGAAAGTGAAATTAAATTACATTTGTGGAAGGCTATAGGATTCTATACACACCTTATTTCTTTAAAAAAAAAACTGACAAGATTTATCTAGTTTTATACAAATTAACTATAGGAAGTGGTCATTAAAGAGAGAGAGAAAGAGACAGATAGACAGACAGACAGTTAAGGCAAAGATCAAAGGAGTGATTTTGCTACTGATTTCCTTAACAAGTTTATTAATGGGAGAGCAAACTCATAGAAGAAATATTTGAGTTAACTGAGTACTTCCAAATAGTTACCTCTTGCCGGGCAGTGGTGGCTCATGCCTTTAATCCCAGCACTCGGGAGGCAGAG